GGACATTAGAGTATTCAGAGTGAATGTTGTCCTTGCATATGGTAAATGGAGAGCAGAAGCCTGTCTAGTATTATAGCTGTGAATTTGGTTATTTCTTCTAAAGATTTGAGCAAGGGCAGGAGGGAGGTCCCCAGAGTGAATGCTAAACATGAGCGTTCCAAGTTGCATTGAATAGAGATCTTCAAGTTTTAGAATACCGTTTTCATAATAAAGTAGATTTGTATGTGCACGATAATTCGCTTTACAAATTATTCTAATAACCCGCTTCTGCACAACAAAGAGCCTGTGGATTTGAGTTTTGAATGATTTGCCCCATGCCAACATACCATAATTAATATATGATAAAATAAGAGTAGAGTACAAAATGAACAATACTTCTTGAGGTATACATGATCTCAACTTATAAATAACACCAGTATTTTTTGACACCACTTTACTTAATTTGTCCACATGAGTTTTCCAATGCAGTTTCTCTTCTATGTATATCCCCAGAAATTTTGTTGAAGTTACTCTCTCAATTGGGTTATTATTAAATGCCACTTCGCCCGGCAAAGTATTAACTGAATTACCGAACAGTATATAATTAGTTTTCTGAAGATTCAAGGATAACTTATTAGCATTAATCCACTTCATTACTTTTCGAAACTCTTCATTAACAGTATTCAACATTATTTGTGGACATTTATGAGAAAAAATACACTTGAGTCATCAGCAAAAAATATGAATGATAATACACTTGATGAGCGTTGAAAATCATTAATATAGAAGATGAATAAAAGTGGTCCCAAAATGGAGCCCTGGGGAACGCCACATGTTACTTGTTGGGGGCAAGAGTCAATTCCATTTAAGGACACATATTGCTTTCTATCAGTAAGATAACTTCTAAACCAATCCAAGGCGACTCCCCTGACACCATAATGACATAATTTACTTAAGAGAATTTCATGGTCTACAGTATCAAAGGCCTTGGAAAAGTCTAAAAATGTACCGATGGTGTGTAAGCGACTATCTAAGGCAGAAGCAAGATTAAGGTGTAAAATTGCATGTGTTGTTGTATGCTTCTCCTGAAAACCAAACTGATAATTACTGAAGACACATGTTTTGTTTAAAAAAGTTCAATAGTTCTTACATAAATAATTTTTCCAAGAATTTTTGAAAAACACGTTAACAAAGAAATCGGACGATAATTTGTCAGTAATTGAGAGTCACCTTTTTTAAAAATTGGTACAACTTTTGCGATCTTCATGTTTATCGGTACAACTCCGCTTGACATAGACAAATTAAAAATATGAACTAGTGGTTGAAGGATACCGACAATAACTTGCTTAATAAGTTCGTTCCCAATATGATCATACCCAGGACTTTTCTTGTTCTTGAGGGCTTTAACAATACCAAGCAATTCTTCGTCATTTGTGGGCACCAGAAATAAACTTTGCATGTTACGTTCTCCTAAGTAATCATGAAAATCAGTTTGACTGTTTGGAATATTTTTTTTCAGATTCGGACCAATATTACAAAAATATTCATTAAACTTTTCCACTATAATATTTTTATCTTCAACCATTTGGTCATCTTTATTCATTTGTATTATACTTGTTACTTTAGATGTTTTTTTAAATACATTTCTTATCACCTTCCACGTGCCCTTGATATTATTGTAAGTTGCTTGAAACTGTGCAAAATAGTATTGTTTTTTGGCTGCACGCAGTTGAGAAGTCAGAGTATTTCTGTAAACGGAATATTCCCTTTTTAGAGCTTCCGTCCCTGCTTTCCTATACTTATAAAACAGCTCATTTTTCTTATTTATTGATTTCAGCATAGCATTGGTGACCCACGGCAAACGTGGGATTTTCCTACGGTTGTTTTTACTCTTTACTACTGGAATATTAGCATCATACAGCGATAAAAACCTATTCATGAAAATATCGAAGGCACTCTCATCACACTGATTCAAAAGAACATCACTCCAGTTTGTCGCCAATAATGCCTCTCTAAACTGATTAATATTTTCTGGGGGTGTTTCTTCTAACATAAATATTCTTTTGGGTGACTACAGGGTTTTTTCCCCAAAGGAATTGTAGTATACACAGGAAAATGGTCAGACAAGTCTGACACTACAATAGTAGATAAAGGAAAAGGTTGCAAGTTACTAAAGATATTGTCAATTAGAGTAGCAGATGATTCAGTTACTCTTGTTGGTTTTGTTATCAAGGGCAACAGAGAAAACGACAACAACAAATTCAGGAAATCATCAACATGAGCATCAACATTATGCTGTAAAAGGTTTATATTAAAATCTCCAACCAAAAATAAGGATTTACCATTAAGTGACTGGTTTTCCAAAGCTCTCTGCATTTCGTCCGAATAAAATGTTCAAAATACCATTGGGAGGTCTGTACACGACTCCAATCACGATATTATTTTTACCAGAAATAAACACTTCAACAAATAAAGCTTCTAGATTTTCAGTCATGACATTAAGTTCGTGAGAGAGGGAGGGAGAGGGAGAGGCAAAGAGATGGAGGGAGAGATAGAGAGAGATAGAGAGAGAGAGAGAGAGAGAGAGAGAGAGGGGGAGGGGGAGTGGTAGTGGCACATTATAATAATGATCGAAGGCTTTTCGTCATTTCATTGTTTTTCTTACTTACTGGTGGTGGAGGTTTCTTGCGATGGCGTTGTGTCTGACATCGTGGTCGTAGGGCCCATCCCGGGCTTGGTCGTCGCGTCCGTAGTCGATGATTCTGTTGACTCTGAAACGTTATAACAAACATAACTGAGCTAATTGATCATGATATAGTTGATGGTTCAGGGTTATAACAAATGAACCCTCACGTACAAAACATTGTGATTAGGAATGGCACCTGAACAGGATTAGAAGGCACAAACGTGGAAAATTTAGCTCTAGGAAAACATATAAACTTTTACAGCTCATTTCTGTTGTAAAGTTAAACAAAAAATGGTGTCACCAAATTAGTAGATTTAGGTGTGTTTTGTCAAAGTCGAAGGAACTTTCTAGCCAAATAGTTTATCTTAATGTATTGCTGTGGTATATTTGCTGTCGATGACAAAAGAATGAGACGAGCACTTTCCCTCTGATAAACAAATGTTTTAGCAACGCCCGTAATAGTCAGATATAGACTGAGACAGAGATAGAGAAAGAGAGAGAGAGAGAGAGAGAGAGAGAAGGGGGAGGGAGAGAAAAAGAGAGTGATAGAAGGGGAAGGGAAGTGGCTAGACAAATAATGATAAGGATTAAATGCAAGAGGTCATTTCATTGTTTCTCTTACTTACTGGAGGTGGTGGTTTCTTCATATGCCGTTGTGTCTAACATCGTTGTCTTAGGGCTCGTCATGGGCTTGGTGGTCGCTTCCGTAGTCGATGATTCACTTGACTCTGAAACGATTTTAACAAACATAACTGAGTTAAATAATCATGATAGTTAATGGTTCAGGGTTATACAAATTGGAAATATACATTTTAACAGTTTATTTCTTTTATAAGGTATAATTTGTGTCAGCATATTTTTGGATTTAGTGGTGTTTTGTCAAAGCCCAAGGGACTTTTTTGTCACAAAATGTATCTAAATGTATTCCTGTGGCGTATTTGTTGTCCTTAAACTCGTGTTCTTAAAAAGAAAAACACGGATACTACCCCCCCCCCCCTCCCCCCTCCCCTAAAAGAAGTTTCATCAATGGCCCTGTAAGGAAAGGATAAAGAAAAAGAGAGTCAGGTACAGACTTATAAAGAGAGGAAGGGGAAAAGGAGAGAGGAGTGGAGGGGTTCGGCAGGGGAAAGGTGTGAGAGAGTGAGGGAGAGACAAAGGGAGAGAGAGAGAGAGAGAGAGAGAGGGGGAGTGGTAGTGGCACATTATAATAATGATCGAAGGCAAGACGTCATTCCATTGTTTTTCTTACTTACTGGTGGTGGAGGTTTCTTGCGATGGCATTGTGTCTGGCATCGTGGTCGTAGGGCCCATCCCGGGCTTGGTCGTCGCGTCCCTAGTCGATGATTCTGTTGACTCTGAAACGTTATAACAAACATATAACTGAGCTAATTGATCACGATATAGTTGATGGTTCGGTGTTATAACAAATGAAACTACACGTAAAAAACAATGTGATTAGGAATGGACCCTGAACACAATTAGAAGGCACAAACGTGGAAAATTTAGCTCCATAAAATATATAAACTTTACAGCTCATTTTCGTTATAAGGTAAAAAATTGAGTCAGATTTTAAAATAAATATATACCTGATGTATTGTCATTTAACTTGTAGGCAAAACAAAAATACGGGCACTGCCCCAATGATAATTGTTTTAGCGACGAAGTAGAGTCAGATAAAGACAAAGAGAGAGAGAGATTTTTTTTAAAGGTAATAATGAAAAAATGCATGACGTAATTTTCATGTTTTGTATTGCTTAGACATACTCGATGTAGTGGTGTTAAGAGAAGTCCTTGCGTCTGAGCGTTCCGACATTGTGGTCGTATGGCTCGTCGTTGGCTTGGTCGTTGCTTCCTTCGTTGACACGGTGACCTCTGGAAAAAAAACATATAATTTAGATAAATGACGATGCATAACATTATTTCCTTTCAAATTATTTTTCCACCGACTGTCTCCAGGCGCCCTTGGTCAGGATACGGGGACAGGATCAACCATCGGGGGGGGGGGGGTAGATATCGGAACATGCTTTTCCTGTGGGAATCCCAATTCTATCAAGAAATTCCGAAAGAGGACCATGAGGTATTTTCTTCGTAGTCATCATCATTTTTTTCTCCTTATTATTATTCTTATTATTCTTCAGTTGCAGTACCAGCCACCGGCATGTATTGTCGTACTGGGGAAGTGCAGTGCAGAATTCATTTACAATGTCTGATAAAAGATACAACAAACTGCGTGTAAGTAACAAAAAAAAAATTTACCCCCTGTAGAAAGTCTCATCGTGCTCTTTGTTCATTAATTAGCCGCCCCTACCCCCCCCCCCATGATACGCCAATGATATTACACCTACGCTCATCGCAGTGTCTCCCTTGAAACCCACTTGAGCAGTGACAGTCGTAGCCTACCATAGTCTCCTCACACCAGCCGTTTTTACAGAGATCTTTGACACAATCTGCGAAAAAAAGTAATGAATGGGATAAAACTCAATACTTGCAAACAAAATCATTTCATTTGTACTGATTGCTGTGAAAAGGGTATATTTTCGGACTTTTGACAAATCAATATGTAAAAGATAAGCAAGACTAATGTTAATGCATTTCCCATGGGTGTCCGCGCCCCTTCTGGACAACTACCCCCTAGGATGGTTGTCCAGGGCGTAGTTGTCCTAGAGGGTGGTTGTCGTAAGGGGTAGTTGACTGGGGGTACTTTTCGGGCTAAGTTGTCCTAAGGGGTAGTTTTCCGGGGGTCATTGTCCGAGGGGTAGTTGTCCTAGGGGGTAGTTGTCCAGGGGTCGTTGTCCGGGGGTAGTCGTCCTAGAGGGTGGTTGCCCTAGGGGTGGATGTCTAGGGGGTAGTTGTCCTAGGGGGTAGTTAACTGGGATGGTTATCCGGGGGAGGATGTCCAGGGGTAGGTGTCCGGATAACCTTTAAAGATGTGTTGGTATTATTTGAAAGATTATGAAGCGGATCCTAATTAAATGATTGGTTGAGAGCGTACACGGTCAATAGTTTTTCTAAAAGATGCCCGCATGCCCGCCTACGTACCGGTCTTTGATTTTGTTAAAGATGCCCATTGCCCCGTGTAACGGGCTGCATTAATACATTTTGCTGAGATCCTCATTGGTTTACGTGCAAACAGTTTCTTTGTGTGAGTGCGGATACAAAATACAGTGCAGTGTGTGTGTGTGCAGTTCTCGAATGATCCTAACATTCAGTCAATTTTCTAGCGAAGATCCACAGATGGTGTCTCAGATTTTATGTGATGAATTCGGTATATAAAATTTGGTATATAAAAGATACATGGACTGCTTTAATATTCGAAGCTTAGCTGTTTCTATAATGACTCTCGGGGACGTTATACACCCTGATATGACCCCTTTGACGCGCCTCGGAGTCATATCAGGATGTATCGTCCCCTTGAGCCTATAGAAACAGCGATGCCTCCCATAGCAGTCAATATATCTATACTAATATCCGGTCATTGGTAAAAATCATCTTGCTATATCGCAGCGTAAATCAGAAAGGAAAGACAGAAAGAGAATGTAACAGAAGGAAGAAACAAAAAAAATAACATGAGGAAAGACAGAAAGAGAAGGTGATAGAATGATAAGAACAAAGATTATCATAAGAGAAGTTGATAATAGGAAGAAACAAAGAATAACATACGGAAAGAAGAACGAGAAGGTGATAGAATGATAAAAACAAAGAATATCATTGGAGCAGGTAATAGAAGGAAGTCACAACTAATAACATAAGAAAATACAGAAAGAGAAAATGATAGATTGATAAAAACAAAGCATTACATACATGTAAGAGAGGGTAATAAAAGGAAGAAATAAAGAATAACATAAGGAAAGACAGAAAGAGAAAGTGGTAGATTGATACAAAAAAAACAAAGCATAACATAAGCGAAGGTGATGGAAGGAAGAAAAAAGCATAGGAAAGACAGAAAGAAAAGGTGATAGAAGGAAAAAAAAGATAATATAAAGAAAGACAAAAAGAGAAAATGATAAAGAGTAGATAATGCAAAGATAGACGAAAAGATGAAAGGTCGGAAAAACAAAGAATAACATAAGAAAAACAGAGAAAGAAAAGGATAGAAGGAAAACAAAGAATAACATGACGAAGGATAGAAACAAATGAAGTGAAAGAAAATAAAATTGAATAAGCGCGGAGGGGGGGGGGCATTAAATCATCGTGTAGAGAACGGGCTTCGATTACATACAAACGAGTTGTAAAGTAATGAACAGGACGGATTGACTGCAGCCAATTCGTATCGTTAGAGGACGGGAACAGCGCCCCCGTCTTCACAAACGAAAGGGCCCTAATGATATAATTGAAGAACGTATTATCTGCACGTAGATTTATTAAATAAACAAAGAAATACATTTGAGATCAAAATTGAATAAGGAATGAAACCTACACGGGATTCTGCATATTCTATGCCCACCCGGGATCCCTTCTTTACTCTTCCTCTGGTGGCACCCGCCGATGACAGAAGGGAAAGGAATGAGCTTGGGGATGCTCTGCACCATGCTGCCATCCTGGAGTCGCTTCATCTCACACTTTTTGAACATGGGCAAAGTGTAATTTAGGCCGTACCAGTCTGGACAAGTTGTCTTCGCCATCTTGGACCTATCCGATAACACAGGCAGGGCTGTGAAGAAGATATTAGACAATTAATTGCTAGTTGTTTGTTCTCTCCCTCCTCCTACGCCTTTTCTCCATCTGTCTCCTACTTCTCCCACCTCTCCTCCTCCTTCATTTATCCTCTACCTCCCCCTCCTCTTCTTCCTCCTACACGCCCTGCTACTTCTCTCCCCTCCTCTTACTCCCTTTCCTCCTTATCCTCCTCTGCCCCTCACCATTCTTCATCTCCAACTCATCCTCATATAATCCTCCTGTAGCCGAATCCTCCTCCTCCTTTTCCTCCTTCCCTTCCTCCCTCTCCTCCATCTTGGGAATGCAGTTTATCTTTAAATATTTTGAAACATTTATTAGGGAGACTTTTTAATAATGTGATTTTTTTTTTGTTTGAGATGCCCCGGATGTCTAGTTTGAGGGCACAAACCCTTTTTAATAGTTGTGTAATAGTATCTGCATAATGTGACTATGCAAATGGTTCTGTATAAATAAAGCTGCTTTTTGACACAGCCAGGACCATGCAGATTTAGGCTCTTCCCAAGGCTTCATGAAAAGTGATAAAGTTTTTACACTTCTTTTTTACACTTCACGGCTATTTTGCTTCATTATGGTCATTTCAAAAGGAACTATTTTTCAGCAACATTCGTGAAATCAAAGAAATATGAAGGATATCAAAGTCAAAATAGTACTTACCGAAGGACAGACAGGTCACGGTACCAAACAGCAACTTCCAAAATACACTTATCTTTGGGCCTTTAGCCTGTATTTAGAAAGACATATAATATTGTTTAAATCAACAATAACAACAACTGAAGAAATTATGATGATATTGATACGGATGAAAATGGTAATACTGATAATGGTGATAACGATAATGATGATGATGATGATTATCATGAAGATATGTATAAGTACAATTACGGTTACTTGTACAGCACATACATGTATCACTAACGTAACATAATTGTTGAGATTGTCACATCAGTCATTAGTATTTTATTAAGGTTTTTTGTTGGCTAATCACGGAGTTTTTTCCAGCAAATCTGGTTAAACTTTAATTCAATTTAGCGAAAACACTATTTTGGGGGGGGGGGGGTGGAGACTGTCATTTAATTTAGGGGATCGGGAAGGGGATTTTAAATATCTAACTAGGGGGCAAAGCAGGTTTTTGATACATGGAATGCTGTAAAAGGTTAGTGAGTATCAACCTGTCTGCACAATTTATAAGTGGACTACCATGAAAACATGCTGATGGAAAAAGAATGGCGGCCATTTTCTAAAATTACTGTTGAACTATATGAAGATTAAATTTTAAAATAGCCTCATTTTATCATGTTTGAGGTGTCATATGAAAACGAGTTTAATTTCATACAAGATGACACAATTTACAGGTGTACGGATGATTTGCATACAAATTTTGAGCAAAAAAATGAATTTTTAACCATTTTTTCAAAAAAATATAAATTGCCCCAAAATATATATTTCTCCTTCTTAATACAAATATGACGACTTCTTACTTGGCACTACTTGCAAAAACTGTCCATAAATATGTTCTAATTTTGTATTTAAATGTCAATTTCATTCTTTTTGCAACAAAAAATTTATAGTGCTCGAAAGATGAAACTTTTATATGAGCTAAAATAGAAATTTTGGTTGATATGGGCTGTCTACTCCTTAGCAACAGTAACATAATTAGATGAAAAATAGAATGTATTGCGAATAGATGCTTTCATTGAGGAGATGAATATTTCGATAGGAAATATGACGTCAGGTGATGCAATTTCATAATATTGTAATGATATGTCTCTCTTAGTTCCGGTTTATATGTTAATTATATGCCTGCCAACCAATATATAATGTGTTCCCACATACCAAATTAGATACAAAATTAGATACTGATACATAACATTAGAACTGATTAATTTCAGTTCATTTCACCTATTTATTTCCACGTCGAGGTAAATATATATATTTTATAATCGTTAAAAACATATATAATGAGATGTCTGTCTCTTTCGTCTGCACTTTATTGTGGTATCTGGTCATTAATAGCTGTAGGCATTTGTGAAGGAAATCTCACTTGAAATTTTCTCATAAATTTCCCTTGTCCACTTTTTACAATTCGTTTGAATAATTTTAGGTGGGAGGATCATCTTTCCAAGTGACAGACATGATTTGCAGTCTGAAACATGTACATAGTTCTTGGTGTGGATCATTATATGGATTATGGCGCCCATAGTATTCAATGAGACTGCGATACCTACCCCCCCCCCCCCCCTGCCCAAATTTATGTACGTAACTGAGCAAGCGAGAGAGCAAGGCGACCGGCTTTGGATACTCGCAAGCTAGCGCAACGATCGAGTAGTAGTAGGGCTTCGCATTTTGAACATTGATAGGTGTTTTTTTATTTATTCATCCCTTATTAAGTAGTAAACAAAGTTAACGAAAACTGTGGAGACATTCAGTCGAATAATTTAGCAATAATATTTTGATGTCAAATTTGGAACCATTTGAAAACGCTATTCCCCACCCCTCCCCCCCCCCCCAAAAAAAAAAAAATATATATATATTGGGGCATAATATTAAGAGATTCTGTGCAATATAATTATGCGAGTCGCGACCGGGCATTTTATCTTGCGTATTAGGGCGAATGTAATCATAAGGATTAATAGTTTTCTTCATGTTGTCTATTTAAATCCGGGTCTTGTATGATCTTACACATGGCTGGTTCAATAATGCATTATACAAAACAATTATTTTATGCCCATTTTTGATTGATTGATTTTATTTCTGCGTTCAAAAATATACAAATTCAAAGTCAGAGTACAAAATTTCGAACAATAACAAATACAATGAATACAATGTTTACAAAAGTAATTAAATGAAAAATCATGTACAATTATATCATTCGATAAACATGTACGAAGCATACAATAACATAAGAAATATGAAATATTTTCAATAAATTAGAGAGGTAATTTGGAACGCAGGAGACCACCATCGTGAGCGGTTAGGCTGGAAATGGATGGCGGCCTCGTAGTAAGGAGAAGAAGGAGAAAAAATGAATGTGCTACATGAATACTGCTTTGCGAAAAATAATTGTTCTAGGAGAGAGAGAGAGTGTGTGTGTGTGTGTGTGTGAGATGGTGGTCATAGAATGGGGATGGGTGCAAATTCCGATCTCCACCAATTATTATCTTCATGATTCAGACTACAGATCATGCAGTGGCGGATCCAGGAATTTCTTACCGGGGGGGGCACAAAATCGCATGGGGTGAAATATATGAAAAACGATGGAGCGAGGCGTCAGCGGCGAGGGAGCGGAGCGACCAAGCGGGGGTGGGTCTGACATGACTACTACCCCTAGATCTTATTTATGTATCACTCAACCGATAGCCTGCATCATATTTTAACACACACCATGCCCTAAACAACATGCCCCCATCAATTCAATTCAATTCAATTCATTTATTTTTCCTCTTTCACTCGTTCATATTTACAATGATGGTACATTTTAACATATTCACATATTTATATACATATAGATCAATTTGCACAATGCAATACATTAACAAAATAAACATGAAATTGAAAGTGAAGGAGGGCCGACTAAAAAGCAGAGCTTGTAGGGTGTAAGCCCCCTGTAAAAGTAATTATTATGAATTATTATTTTATGAGAAGAAACAAAAACACAATAACAATAACTGATTCAGTAATACCAAAAAAAAAATCACTTTTAAACGCAAAACATTGATAAATACATACATGTTTATAAAAAGAAACAATCAAAGTTGCATAAAGTCACACTACGAATAATAATTGATTGGGGAATGCAATAGCCTAGTAACTATTCAGAAGAAAGCTTTTAAGTCTCCTTTTGAAAATTTGTATCGAATTACACTGTATAATATCATTTGAAAGAGAATTCCACAGTTTTGGACCTGTAAAAACAAATGTCTTTTGTGCAAAAGATGTTCTATTTAATGGTAGATGAAAAGAGCTCGCCTGGCGAGTGAGGTAACTATGAATCGAATCATTTCTTACGAACATATCATTAAAAGGCAAAGGTAATTGTTTAGTGTTGAGCTTGTACATACTGTCCAAGCTGAAAAATATACAAGTCTTTAATTTACAAAATGTTATTATTCAGAAAAAGATTATTCGTGTGTGCCCGGAAATCTGCATTATTAATAATACGAATCGCTCTTTTTTGTAATATGAATAGTCTATTAATTTGGGAGGTTGCTGCACTGCCCCAGGCAATAAGTCCGTAATTCAGGTAAGGAAGAATAAGCGTAGAATACAAGGATAACATAATATAATGGGGTAGGAAGCGTCTTAATTTGCTAAGGATACCAGTGTTGCGAGCAATGATTTTGCAGATATTGTCAGTGTGCGCTTTCCAAGATAGTTTTTTATCAATAACTAGCCCCAAAAATTTAGTTGATCGGGCCCTTTGAATGACAGTACCATAAAAAAATTATACAATTAGGCAAAGTTGCAACCTTATTACTAAATAGCATGTAACTAGTTATGTCTAAGTTAAAGTGACAGTTTGTTTGCTTTTATCCAATTTGCCGCACTCGTTATTTAGTATTTGCGTCAATTGCTCTGGATCGCGATGTGACAAACACATATTTGAGTCGTCAGCAAAAAGTATAAATTGAAGCAGACAAGATGACCTCTCAATGTCGTTTATATAAATAATAAACAAAAGTGGACCAAGAATACTTCCTTGCAGAACTCCGCAAAGGACAGGTTTACTTTCAGAGAAATTACCATTCAGCGAATCAAACTGGGAGCGCCCTTTAAGATAATTCTTGAACCACGTCAACGGTTTTCCCCTAATTCCATAGTGAGAACGTTTGTAAATAAGGGCATTATGATCAACAGTATCAAATGCTTTAGAAAAATCTATGAACAAACCATCCGTATTAGAAGACTTATCGATAGCTTTGGCAACTGTTTGAACTAAAGAAAGTATGGCATGGGTAGTGCTACTCTTTTCTCGGAAGCCAAATTGAGTATCAGAGAAGATGTTGTGCTTTTTAAAGAAACTCATGGTCCGTATGTGGACCAACTTTCAAGGATTTTAGACAAGGTTGTAAGCAATGAGATTGGTCTATAATTACTTGTTAATGTACTGTCACCCTTTTTGAAAATTTGGATTATTTTCGAAATTTTCATTGATTCTGGAATATGTCCAGATAATAATGACAACTTAAATATATAAACGAGAGGATCAACAATATAATTCATAGTTTTCTGTAAAATGTTGTTATCAATTTATCAAATACTGCACTCTTGTTTATTTTTAGGCCAGATATAATCTTAATTATCTCTTGTATGTACGTAAGAGAGAAAATATAGAACTTTCATTTCTCTCCCCCAAATAGTGGTGAAATGAACGGTACGTGGAAGGTATGTGCCTAGCAAGATTAAAACCAACTTGAGAAAAATAATTGTTAAAATATCTGCCAACTGAACTTCATCCTCAACTATTGCATCATTTTGTCTAAGCTTAGTAATCTTAGAATGCTTTGATCCATTGTTGATGGTAGAATTGATGATCTTCCATGTTCTTTTAAGATCATTTTTGCAACGACTGAATTGATCATGATAATACTCTTTTTTAGCAGTACATATCACTCCTGTAAGTTTATTCTTATAATTAGTATACTGGATCCGTGTTTGATCAGTTAATTTAGATATATATTTATAGTATAATTGATTTTTTAGATTTATTGAACGTAGAATCGA